CTCCTGCTTCAGGGGCAGCACGGCGGACAGCCAGCAGACCAGCCCGGCGTTCTTGGCGCGCAGAAGGCGCGCCAGGCCCTCGCAGCAGGCCGCCAGCAGCTCCTACGCGCGGATGGCGTGCGTGGGCGCGCGCGCTGGGAATGGCGGGCCCGGACGTCCCGAGGCCGAGACCGCCACCTCCCCCTCCTGCTCGACCTCCTCCCTCCCCCTTCTCGACCTCCCTCCTCCTTCTCGACCTCCCTCCTCCTTCTCGACTCCCTCCTCCTTCTCGACCTCCCTCCTCCTTCGCGACCTCCTCCCTCCCCGCCTCCTCCCTCCTCCTCCTCGACATCCTCCTGCTCGACCTCCCTCCTCTTCGACCTCCCTCTTCCTGCTCGACCTCCTCCCTCCTCCTTCTCGGCCTCCTCCCTCCGTGTTGTCGACCTCCCTCCTCCTCTGGGCGCTGCAGCCGACGCAGCAGAGGTCCTGCCACCACCACGGACGCTCCCGGATAGTGCGCTCCTCGACAGGCCCCGCTCCTTCCCACCTTCGGCTGCACTGCGGCAGACGGTCCAGATGACGGATGGCTGGGGCGTCTGCCCTGGCCGATGCGAGCCAGGCTCTCGTGCCCCGTCTCAACAAGGTGTGCGCACCCCAGCGAACTGACGCGGGTCGACCCAGGGCGGGAGGGAGAGAGCGAGAGAGAGAGAGAGCGATACATATATACATATATATACACATATATATAAAGAGAGAGAGAGAGAGAGAGAAAGAAAACATCGGCGGCGAGCGAGCGGGAGAAATGAGATGGAGAAGGCCCTCCCAGAAGGCGGCGGGACTTCTCAGAAACCCTCGCGCCATTCTGACAATTCTTGTTCGCCTGCCTCCGGGGAAGGCTCCGAAAACTGCTCGGAAGGCCAGGGGACGTCCGAGCCCCTCTGATAAGGCCTTCTCCTTCTCACTTCCCCTCCTCGCTCGCCGCCGAAGAAAGGACAGGGGACGCAGGCACCACACGGCAATCGTGCCGCTCAGGCCGTCGTGCCACCCTCGAGGGGAACGCTACACTCAGGTCGGGCATGTCCCCCTAACAGGCGGAGCTTGGGCGACAAAACAAAAGATACCCCAACAATGCCCAAACGATTCCCAAACATGGCAGGAAAATCGTACCCAGACGATTTTTGTTTATACTATGTTTGAATCTGCCTCCCGTATGATAGGCCTGTTGTCCGCCACCACCACCATACGTTGGAGAAGGAGGGGGTCCTCCTTCTCCTCCTCCTTCTCCTCCTCCTCTTCGTCCTCCTCCTCCTCCTCCTCGTCCTTCTCCTCCTCCTCCTCCTTCCCCCTCCAACTGGTGGTGGTGGTGGACAACGGACCCATCGCTGTAGAGGGACAGGCCCGACTTGACGCTGCACGGGGAACGATAATGGGCCCCCCCTGGCCACGGCGAGCCGCGGCCACGGGCGGGTCCTCCCCGGCGCTGAGCGCTGAGCCACGGCCCGACGGAAGCCAGAGCCCCTTCCGATGCTGACGATGATGCTGGTGATGCTGACGGCGATGACGACGAAGATGGTGGTGGTGGTGGTGGTCGGGGTGATGTCGATGCTGATGGTGATGTCGATGGTGCTGTTGATGATGATCATGCTGTTGGTGATAATGAGGACAATGATGCTGATGCTGATGCTGCTGATGGCGATGCTGGTGGTGGTAGTGGTGATGGTGATGAAAGTGATGATGTTGATGGTGTTGATGATAGTACTGTTGATGATGATGCTGATGGTGATGATGATAATGATGGCGATGATGGTTATGATGGTGATGATACTGCGGCTGATGATGATGTGGATCAGCATCAACATCAATATCAGCATCATCATCATCATCAGCATCATCACCATCAGCATCAGCATCATCCTCAGCATCAGCATCAGCACAAGCATCATCATACTCATCAGTATCATCATCATTATCATCATCATCATCATCACCACCATCACCATCATCAGCATCAGCATCAGCATCAGCATCAGCATCATCATCAGCATCAGCATCATCAGCATCCGCATCATCACGATCACCATCACCGAGTTCGGAGTGGCCCCTACTTCACCGTCCTGGCACGGCTGGCGGCGCCGCACGCCCCATCTGGAGCAGCACACGGGGCGCCCCGGCCCCGCAGACCCGACGCGCGCCTCGGAGTGAGGGGCCGGGTGGCGCCACGGGTGAAGGAGCCTGCGAGGTGCCCCACCCGAGGAGGCCCGCTGCTGCCCTGCGAAGTGCGGGTGCTCCTCTGTGCGCACGCCACCGTGGGCATCCTGGCCTGGGAAGGCATGAGCGAGGACTCGTGCCACGTCCATCATATCTCGGGCCGGGCGAAAAGGGGGGGATATCAAAGGGGGGGTTTGAGAATCAGCTCACGTAGCTGATTTTCCCACCCGAGAGGCCCGCTGCTGCTCTCCGAAATGCTGGTGTTCCTCTGTGTGCATGTCCTTAGTGGGCCCTGGAAACGACCGGGCCGTTT